TTATTATTATTATTATTATTATTATTTTAGTTTTCTGTTAAGAGTTTTTGCTGCCACATCAACACTATATGTTTTGTAATAGACTAATTTGTTTAATTTTAGCACTGAGTCTGGTCTTTACATTTGGGTTAACACACACACCAGCAAGTATGATACAACAGAGTTTATTTACTGTACCTCTGTCTTTTTCATGTTTTTTCACCTCTGCTCGCCTTTACCTCCTTCCCTGAGCACCAGAGAACTTTGCTTGTTTAGACATCCTTTTCGCTCATGTAACAGGAGCAGATACAGTGTAATAGCGGAGGAGGGCGAGCTAAAATGTTCCTCCACTGTTTTTTTTATTTGTATCCCATACTTCCACAGTCTTTTGCTTCTGTTCCAACCTTTTTGAGATGTGACAATATTCCCCTTTAGATCTCCTCAGTTACCAAACATTAATAGTGTTGATAAAAGATGCTTCACAGTGGAAAACATGGACCTGGAACAGAGTTAAAGATGCATTGCTGCCCTCAAATGAATTTTTTTTATATTCACCTTCATTGTTTTGATATGTTTAGCTACTATGTTCCATTGGGAATAAAAATGGGTTTATTTACAAGCTACAATCTGTTTTATATGTATTTAAAAAGTCTCAACTTTTGTAAAACTAGGGTTAGCTGACATGCTGGTGTTTGAAAAGCATGGTTTAATGTTTTTGTTTGAAACTTGTACATTTCCTGATCAGATCATTTCGTTTTCATTGTATCTCTTTTAAATTATACAGTACATAAAACAGGAACATATGAAGGACATATGGAGGCATTTTTAATTTTGTTGTTATTCCAGGGAAATTTTCATCTTTAAAAAAAAAACGGTGTATATAATAATTTGCATGATAAATTTCATGATCTAGTCTAGTAACATTTTATTATTTTTTGATTATATACAGTACATTATGTTGTTTCTAGAGTTGCAGTTTGCTATTTTGACTGAATATGTAGGAACATTGGGCCTCATGCAAGAACATGTTCATATTTTTATCCTAAATTTCTCTTACTTTTGTTCGTACGAAGGGTTCGTACGAACATGTCACGTCAGATTCAACAAACTCTTCTATCTTC